CCTGGTTTGCTTGCCTGGAAGTAGCCACATGCTCCCAGACCACCCCCACCGCTGAGCCCTGTCTCCTGAGGGTGTGGGTGAAAGGCAGATTAAGCCACCTCCTGTCTCTGGCTCGAGGAACTTCTTTAAAATCGAATATCAAGCTGGGCATGGTGGCACGTGCGCGAGGCTTTAATCCTAGCATTTGGGAGGCAGAGGGAGGGTGACCTCTGGAGCTGGAGCCAGGCCAGCCAGAGCTACTTATGAGACCCTGCCACACCTCCCCACCCCCACACCATTTTTTTTTTTCCCCAAATCATCTGACTTTTATCACTTTTAAATTATGTGTCTGTGTATGTGCGGTCAGTCTATACATTTGAGTGCCAGTGGCTCAAAGGGTTTTCTAGGAGGCACAGAATTTCTTAGGTGCTAGGACAAAACGGGTCCTCTGCAGGAACAGCCAGCGCTCTTAACTGCGGAGCCATCTCTCTTAAGATGGGGGTGGGGATGGGGTGGGGGTGGGAGGGCTCATTATGCTTCAACCTTCAGGGTCCTGGCAGTTTAGGCATGTGCCACTGTGCCGGGCTTTGGTGAGCTTTCTCCACAGTTCTGCTTCTGCTTTGCCATCTGCTCAGGGTTCTAGGCAACACCTCATCAACTCTTATGGGCTCTGACCCTGAGCACCAAATCACTCTTTTTCCTGGGCAGGGCTCGGTTTTGCCCAGGATTCATTTCACTCCCAAGGAAGGGGGCCCAACCTAGGAGGTGGGTCTGACTGTTCAAAGCTTGTTGGCTTGAAACTCATGTGGGGCGGGGGAGCAGCAGGGTGTGGCAGGGAGGGTGTGGAATGACGTCCCTCTGTCTAAGGGTATTTTTTTCTTTAATTTTGGTGTTTTGTTTGTTTGTTCTTGAGACTAGGTCTTAAATCCAAAATGTAGCCAAGGCTGGCCTTGGATTCATCCTCCCGCACCTCTGAAGTGCTGAGGTTACAAACGTGGGCTACCTACCACTCCAGGCACAGTGGAGTCATCGTGGTACTCTGTAGCCCAGGCTAGCCTTGAAGTCTTGATCCCTCTGCCTCCCCTTCCTCGGTGCCAGGATTACAGGCCTGGGCCACCAGCTCCTTGGGTCCAGTCTTTGCTTTCCTTGCTCAGTTCTCTAGCGATGGGGGGAGGGGGGGGTCCACAAGGTGGAGGCGGGGCCAAGTGAATGTGAGTGAGTCTGTGAGCTCTGGGCCAGCGTGGACCCTTCCTAGCACAGAAGAGGTGCTCTTTCTTGGTCTTGAAGTGGATACAGATGTAGGCAGGTCTGGCTTTGACCCTCAGGAAGACTCAAGCTGGGAAAGAGCCATCTCTACCCAATTACCCTGCACACTCCTGCTCTTCTCCCTCCTCCCACCAAGATCAAGTCTAGTCATCCACTGGTCTGCTCCTAGCATTCCTAAGAAAGTTGAAGTAGGCTAGCTCATCTCATTAGAGGTTCTAACTAAGGGCCTATTCGGGAGGGGTCGTTGTTCGAGTCAGTGTCTCAAACCTCCATCTGGCCTAGAACTCAAGACCCACCTCCCTCGGCCTCCTGAGTGCTAGGATTCCAGGCTTCATCAGCCTGTGGATTTGCAGCGTTATAACGGGGTTGTCCTTGCTTGCACTCTGTGGAAACCTAAAGGAGGCCACTCAGAATGGCGCACAGGTCCGGATTGCCCACCTCGGCGCCAGCCAAATCTAAACGACCCGCGTTCTGCCCAGATTCATCCAGTTTCATCTCCCGGACCGTGGTCGTGAAAGACAAAGTCCACAAGCCATTTCAGTGCGCGTCCGGCCCTAATTATACACCCTCAGTTTCAGAAGGCACAGCCCGCTTCGATAAACACCACAGATATATGACTGTCGTGGGCTGCATTGACTCGGTCTAAGAGGTGGTTGACTTTTAGTTACAAACTTAAAAGATTCATTTGATTTCAGGTTATGGAGGGGCTGTGTGCGGCTGTGTGTGTGCAGGTGGGGGCAGGTGCCCTCGGAGGCCGGAAGTGGGTGTGGGAGCCCCAGCAGCGCAGCGTATGGTCGTAATCGCTGAGCCATCTCTCCGGCCTCTTCACCAGAACCTGCTAAGAAGCTCAGAGTCTTCTTAATGACACACACACACACACACACACAGGGTTCAGCATTTCAACGAAAGGATTTGAGAACATGGAAACAAAGGCTGGCAGCGTCCAGGAGATAAAGGTCCTTCAAAATGGCCAGCCGTCGTTGTGATTAAATTGTGCATTTTTAATACAGTTGGTGTCAAGCGAAACTTTAAAAAAAAAAAAAACATTCGGGGATTTAAAATAAAGTGAAGTCTGCTGTTTTTCGGGGTCAGCAGTATCACGGTGAGATTTGTCTCTTAGACAATGACACTTGCTATCTCTGGAGTTCTATGAATACTTTTGAAGTGTCATATTAAAACCAATCTCGTGGCCTTGAGGCAAAGGGAAGCAATTAGTCGTGCAGTTGTGAATAAATAAAAATCCATTTATACACCCGTCCTTGACATGTGCCTTGCAAATCTTAGAAACTTCATCTAGGGGGAAAAGAAATGTTAGATCGTGGATACTGGCCCTAATCACTTCGCCACGTGGCTTCCTAAAACAGTCGAGTTTATACCAATCTTTTAAGTGTGAATTTATATGTATGTATTCACCCGTATTGAACACAAAACAAAGACTCACCAACAGCCACTCGGGTGAGAAGTAAGAGAGCTGGGACCCACTTGGGCCGTGACAAATAGTTTTCAGAGGGTCCTTGAGCCTCGAGTGAACCTAGCACACTCCCCACACTCACCCCTCTTCAAAGCCTTGGGGGAGTTCTAACCCTGAAGCTGAGGGCACTTACACACCAGCCAACTCTCCTGAGGACGCCAGACAGAGAGGCCACAGTCCTCGCAAAGCTGTTTTCACCCTGTTCTCACGGCCAGCTTCTTCAACGCTGGGGAAACTGGCTCGTTTCTAAGTTCCACTGCTGTGGGCTGTCCAAAGATTGGGGAAGCCAGCAAGGAACTGAGCGGACTGTCCGGCTGGGGGCCTGGAACTCTCCCACCCGCTCGCTGGCCAGCACTGTTTGAGCAAAGCTGGGCACCAGACGGCCTGGGGGTGCTCCAGGGCGTGGGACCCAAACACCCAAACGTGGGCCGCCATGGGCCCCTCACAGCCACGGATCCCTGACCTACTTCCCGGCCCCCTTTCTGTTTTAGGAGCTCAAAAATCCATAAATTAAGGAAATTAACTGATGGGGCCTGCGGCACCTTTGCAAGCTATTTAAATCTATAAATTTACAACATATTCTGCATATATCAAGTAATTGAACTAACTGCAGGGATGTAACTTTAATGAGAAAATTTCCCCCCTTCTCCAGTAGTTTGCGATAATAAATAAATAAATAGATAGATAAATAAATAAATAAATCCCTCAGGAGGAAAGTTTCTTATTCCCGCGTGAAGTTGCAGGAGGCGCGGGCGAGATGCTGTCTGCGCACCAGAGGTCCCCGGATTTAGGGGAGACTGGGTCCCCTCACCCCCCAACATCATCTTTCTCCAGTGCTCGGGTCTGGCCTCCAGAGCACCCCCAGGAGTTTGGCCAGTAGAGGGCGCCCAGGCCCGGCCGGAGCCGGTGAAGGGGCCGGGGCGCCGCTCCCGTCCGGAGCGCACCCGCCTTCGTAGCCGAAAGCCTGGCTTCGGCCCGGGCGTCCCGGGAGCCAGGCGGGGGCGCAGTCCGGGCAGAGCAGCGGCCGCGATCCGTTTCCTAGGAGCCGGGAAACGGTCGAGGAGGAGGGACAGGCGGGGCGCGAGGGGAGGAGGAGGAGGAGGAGGCAGCGGAGGGCAGCCGGGGGCGTTTCGGGCGCAGGCCTCCGCGCCGCGGGGACCTCCGGCCGCCGCCGACTCCATCGCGCCGCGCTCGTCCAGGAAATGGCGCGAGCGGCCGCGGGCGACGGCCCGGGCGCCCCGCTCCCCTCCCCCGCGGCGGCCACCGCGTGCCCGCAGACGTCACGGGCGGCGCTGCTCCCCGGGAGAGAGGGGCAGCCGGGGCCGAGACCCGGGGAGAGAGGGAGGGAGGGGGCAGAGAGGGAGGGAGGGAGGGAGGGGAGCCGCCTGGCAGCCCAGTTCCTCTCCCCTCCCCGCACCAAGTCCCGCCCTCAGCCCCCGGGCGCCGCGGCGGCGGCTGCTCCTCTCCTCTTTGTAACCGAGGAGTCGAGAAATGTGAGAAACGTGCCCTGTGTTACTTATTTGGGAGTCGAAAATTTATGCCCAGCTGAAAGCGCCCGGGGAAATATTACATCAGATGAAATGACAATGATTAAAATCAGCCTCTCCCCCGCCCCCTCCCCGAGCCCGGAGGAGGCCCGGGCGCCGCGTGGCCGGACGGCGGGGGGCTGGGGCGCGGAGGGCGCGGGGCCCGGGCGCGGAGCTCCCGGAAGGGTCCTGGCCGAGCCCCGGGGGCCCCCGGGCACCGAGCTCCGGGACCCGCGGGCGGGAAGGAAGTGGCGGCGGTGGGGAACGGTGCATTTTTTTGTCGCCGAGCGCGGCGGGCGCGGGCGCGCGGAGCTAATTGCGACTCTAATCCTCTGCCCCGAGGCGCAGCCGAGCCCCGAGCCAGGAGGCGCCCGCGCGCGCCCGCTCGCGCTCGCCGCGCCGGGGTAATTGGGAACCGGATCGCTGCCCTTTGCAATCCGGGCTGGGCCGCGGCGAGGCGCACGGGCTGCCGGCTGGGTTTTTTTTGGGGGGGGGAGAGGCTCTTTTTTTCCCCCCTCCAAAGCCACCGGGGGAGGCCACCGGAGAGAGAGAGAGGGAGGAGAGGAGAGGAGGTGGGAGCGGCGGGAGGGCAGCCGGAGAGCGGCGCGAAGAGGCGGCGGCGGCGGCGGCCTCGGCGGGGAGGGAGGAGGCGAGGGGAGGGCGGGGAGGGGAGGCCCCGGCGCGGCGCGCCGCGAGGGGCCGCGCGGAGCGGGGGCCGGGGCGGGAGGGGTGGGTGGGGGGAGGGTTGGGGGCGAGAGAGAAAGTAACTCCAGGACGAGACCGGAGCGACCCGCGCGCATCGAGCAGCAGGCGACGGGGCTGCGACGGGCGCCCGACACCGGCGGCCGCTGGGGGCGCGGGGGCCCGCTCCGCCGCGCTCCGGCTCCGAGGTAAGCCCCGGCGCCGGCGGCCACCGCTCGCCGCCGGCCGCCCCCGCCTCCCCAAAGTGTCCGCTGTGCCGAAAAAGTCACTCGGCCCCTCGCCGCGGACCCGGGCTGGGGGGTGGGGGCGGGGGCCGCTTTGTCCCTCCGCCGAGCGCCGGGGCTGGCGGCGTGGGGGCGCCCGGCACAAAGGCCTGGCGCGCACGGGGCGGGGGGTGCCCACGTGGGCTGGTCCCGGCCGCGGGTGGACCCTCCCCGCTCGGCTCGGCGGGGCTCCCGTTCTCCCCGCCGCTCGCTCGGGGCGCGCGCGCTCGGGTCCCCCGCGCTCTGCTTCCAGGACCGGCTCGACCCGAGCCCTGCGGAGCCGCTGACTTTCCCTAGTGTGAAACCGGCTCCACGCAGCTGGAGGGGCGGGGGGGGGGGGTTCGGGGCTTGCAGGTCCGGGTTGGCCCCCGGATCGTAGGAAAGGGGGGGGGGGAGGAGAAAAAGTCTCTAACGGGACAGATGTGCGTCCTCTGACGCCCACCCTACGAGTCCCACGCCAGACGCGCTGGCGGGGGGTGCCAGGCTCGGGATGTGGGGCGCGCGCCGCGCCGCCCCAACACCGGACCTCGGTCCACACGCACCCCCGGACCTGGGTGCGAGCACCCTCGTTCTCTCGCTCCCGCCTCTCTCCCCTCCCCTGAGAAGCCCCGACTGCAGCAGAGAAACCCTCAAGTTTTCACCGCGCGTCCCGAACGTGCATGAAGGAATTTAACTGCGCGAGTGAATGGCAGCATTAGTTTCAATTAATTTTTTTTTTAATCCCGGCAACAATAAACTTTGAGAACAAAAGCGCTTTTACGTCCTTAATTAGGCGAGCTTCCCATCTGTGGTCTCCAAGTGTCTGCTCCTTGATTTAACTTCGTCTCCGCCCCCGCCGCGCTCTCCCACCCCTTCCCCGCTGCGCCCTTCGGGGGACCTCGGCCACCCCGCCCCGCGGGGCCCGGATTTGCGGCCCCGAAGTTCACGCCGGCCGGCGGCCTCCGCGGCCCCGCTGGCGCGCGCCAGGTGGCCCGCTGCGTCCCTCCGGGTCCGCCCCCCCGGACGCTCCTGCAGGCCCCTGGCACTGTCGCCCCCCGGGGGCAGGCGCCCGGGGCGCAGAGCCGAAGGGAACTCGGGGAGGCGCCTTCTGTTTACCTTTTATGGTTAAAATAACAGCTTAGCCAAGAAGCGACTTCGCGGAGAAGCGATTTAGTAAAATCGTCTCAAGCTGCCGCAGCTCAGCCAGTTTAATCACCCCCAGAGAGCTGAACAACTGCGAGCACAATGGGACACAAAATCATTTTGTGTGTAAATGAGCGTAGCATTCTGCCGGCTTCCCTCGGCTCGGGCGGGCGGGGCCCGGCTGCGGGTGGGCGCGGGACCAGGCTCTCCCACCGCAGCTCGGAGAAGCGGGTCAGGGCTGGGCCAGTCGGCAGCCCCGCCGAGGGTCCCCGCAACAGGCGGCTCGGCCGCGTCTGAGGTGGTGCTTGGTGCGGTGAGCTTGTGTCGCTTACCCAGTGCGTTCTTGTGCTTGCGATCCCAGCAGTGGTCCCGGGAGAAGGGTCGTGGTCCGCCGCAGAATTCGGGTCAAGGCGTAAGGCCTGGGGCTTCCAATGGTGAGTTTCTGCTTTGCGCTGTGGGGAGAGAGGCCGAGAAACAGGCCGGGGCACCTCGTGAGATGGGTGCTTGGTGCTGCTTGTCACTTGTGAGTTGGAGTGGTGCTCTGGGAATTCGGGTGGGAACTCCTAGCTCTTTTGGTCTTCAGTGGGTCCCCCTTTCTGGCTCCCTCGCCCCCATCCCCTCCCAGGGCCGGGTGAGCCATCCCTCTGGTCTGTTTTGGTTTCTCAAAAACTTCCCTGAGATAAGTGACCTGGACTGTCCAAAGCCAGGACTGCGCAGCCACCCCACCCCAAAACAGTTTCAGGTCCGACAACTTCCCAGGACACTGGGGCTGCAGAACAAATGGCAGGAGGGCAGGAGGGGAGGAGCCTTTCTCGTGTTTAATGGTTTGAGTCTGTGTACCTCTGACCGTGCTTTAGAACTGGATGCCGAATTTCAAGGTATATATCTAGAAGTGAGAGTTTAATAGGTGGTTGCCCAGGATACCTTGTAGATGGCTCCTAAGGGTTAAACCTGTGTCAGAGAAGCCCAGGTTATGTTTGTGGAATACTCCTCTCTCTCTCTCTCTCTCTCTCTCTCTCTCTCTTTCTCTCTCTCTCTCTGTGTGTGTGTTTTCCTGTGAGACAGCCCCAAGCCAGTGGAAGGGTTAGTTAGAAACCTGCCCTTCTCCGCCCCTCCTCCTTCATGGGGCCCCTGAAAATGCCCCAGGGTGGCTTCTGGGGACTGAGGCACAATTTTATTTCAGGTGTTTGTGGCACACAGGGAAGTCCCGGGTAGCTCTGGGGAGGAGGGGAGAAAGCCCATTTGCTGATTGCTGTCTGGCCAGCTCTCCATGCCTCAAGGGCCTGTGATCCTGAGGGGGTCTGGAATACATTAGGCTCAGGCAGCACCGTTCTGGGGGTCTGTGGAGAGGCAGGGAGGTGCAGGGAAGGCAAACAAAGACAGGTTCCGTCTGCTTTGGGAGCTCTGGGTGGCTTCCCAGTGGCTCTTCTGAGTCTTCGGGCCCTGCTTCCTTCGGTGTGTTCTGTAAGTGCACCTTCCCCGGGTGGTAAGAGGTCCCAGGCTCCCCAACCAACCGAAGGGAGCTGCACTCCCCCAAGGCTCTCTCCACTTGGTGCAAGAGGAGACACGCTTGGTAACAGGGCCCTAACTCAAAATACCAAAGAAATCAGATTTGTTCTGAAACATTGCAGGGTAATAATGCCGAGCATATGTTTTAGGCTGTCATTAGCCAAATTAGCAGACATGGAGCTGCCTGGAAAACACGTGTGTGTGTGTGTGTGTGTGTGTGTGTGTGTGTGTGTGTGTGTGTGTATGTGCATGCTATGCTGTGCTATGCTCTTCTATGCTATGGCCTGGAGACCTGCTTCAGGATGTGGAGGGTTGGGTGGAATCTGGGAGGGCTGCCTGGTGTTCTTGGGGGTCCCGGACAGCCCCACTGGTGGCTACTGAGAAGTGAGGCCTCTGTCACTGCTCTCCACAGATACTCTGGGCAGGGATGGAAGCCTAGATGCCTCACCGCAAGGAGCGGCCGAGCGGGTCGTCGCTTAACGCACACGGCAGCAGCGGCGCGGCGGTGAGCTCACAGGGTGGGCTGGGGCGGCCCTGGGCCCCTCTTTGCTCTTTTCTAGGGCTACCTGCTTCGGGTCTTCTGAGACCCAGCACTTGTGAGATGGGTATCGACTGGTTGTACGATTATGTTTTTTTTTTTTTTTGAAACGAAAATGCTCTTAATTTGATGTGAAATTTACTACATGTATAAAGCTCAACGCCTTAGGTGCTGAGGAAGTCACTAATTTAGAGGTGTCTCGTTACTGAGACAAACTTGCAAAAAACCCCTGAATCCCAATTCACAAATTGGTGATTCGTTTGTCAGGGGATATTTCACATCTAACACATAAGCCTGCGACCTTTAATTAGAATTTTGCAGTTTGTTTTATGCCCCTGGAGGCTGACACCTTGAAAAAAAAAATTTTTTTTTCTTGATTTCTTATTGCTAATAAGCATCCTTCTCCCACCCCCCACCCCCAGCGCTTTGAAGAAAACGATGCAAATACACTTAATTACAGCGGTGGCCGTAATTTGTCAGCTGAATATGTGATCAGGCGCACGGAGAAGCGATCTGATTAAATCTGTGATCACATTCAAAATGAAGGAGGTTTAGGAACCCTTGTTGGGTTTTTTGTTTGTTTGTTTGTTTGTTTGTTTGTTTGTTTTCATTTATTTTTTTTGTCTCTAGGAGGGAGGAAATATGTCCCGGCTGTCACTCACCCGGTCGCCCGTGTCTCCCCTGGCTGCCCAGGGGATCCCACTGCCAGCTCAGCTCACCAAAGCCAACGCACCCGTGCACATTGACGTGGGCGGACACATGTACACGAGCAGCCTGGCCACGCTCACCAAGTACCCCGACTCCAGGTAAGAGCGCGGCTCCTCGTGGCGGGCATGTGGTGTGAAGCCTGGGCCTTCACAGGGCACTGCTGGGGTACTGTGCTGAGGCCTGCCGTTCCCCGATGCTCTCCACGCTTTGGGAGCCCGCCTGCTCGCCGAAGGCGGCTTCTGAGCCTGTGGCACGACATGGAGTTTCTGGCCTTAAAGGCAGACGCAGCCCCACGTGAGCCTGACCAGCCCTGAGCTGACCAGTGAGTCTCATGGAGTGATGCTCAGGAGCCCGGTGTGGGCGGATGAGGTCAGTGCCATTTCCTGGCCTGACCCTTGGGGAAAGGCATGGAGAACTGGCTGCCGTTGGACCCTTCTTTGTTTGGGTGGCCGCCGTTGGCTGAGGGCTAGGAGCAGGCTTTCTTTTGGAGCTGGAGGGTGCAGCGATGAGTTAGAGATTGCGGCACAGCCAGTGATATTTTTGACAGTGGCTGATAGTTTCTACACCTTGTTATGTATGGAACTATCTGTGATGGCGACCCTGACTGCGGACCTCAGAGACTCTTCCCAGGAGAGGGACCCTTCCTGTGGAAAGGTGCTGGGTGCCACCAACTTGCCTGCATTTTACTTCTCATGAATTCCCTTCCCAAGGACTCGCCTTGGCACCGCGGCTGGAAGCAGGCCTAATGGGGGCCGGCTGTGTCTCTGTGTCTCCTACAGGTGACACTGCACGCAGCTTGCCGGGCCCATGCTGCTCGCTCCCAGCATGGCACGGCGTCGAGCACCGTTGGCCAGCGGGAGGGCAGGCCTGTCAGGCATCACCTCTCCTTTATACATTTAAAATAAGAAGAGGAGTTAATTAATCCCCCAGACACTGGGGGCTCACCACCAGGACGGAGGCTCCACCGGGGTAGATTGAGAGCCTGGAGGACTGCGGCGCACGGGTGCCCCCGGAGACAGGGATGAGGGTTTGTGTCTGGTCCAGACAGAGGCAGTGCAGAGACTAGGCAGGCGGGTCCCTGTGAACTTGGAGCGGCGGCGGGCGGGAGCCAGGGGGCTGGCCGAGTGCTTGCTTGCAGAGCCCTGTCTACGCCAGGAGATGGATTCCGTTCATTTAATTTCAGTTTTGCCTTCTGCGGCGTTCCCGAGTTGTGTGAGATAGATCATCCCTTAATCGGCTGACGATGTTTGTGAGTGAAATTCGTAGGAATCCTCGCCCACAACCTTCTTGGAGGAGCGTTTTCTGAAATCCGACATTCACCTTCCCGCAGCGGCTCACCACCCCGGCCTGGCGGCCTGGCGGGTGGGGAGGGCTCCCCTCACGTGTTTGCCTCTGGTGGCTGTGGGAGCCTGAGGGCAACCCCCTCCCTGGTCCACGGTATGGCGTGCCCCTGTTTATCAGCATGCTGTGCAGTGGGGCATCTTCGTCCTCTGGGGAGCTGGCAGGATGGCATGTGGGACCCTCCATGGTCTGGGTGTGCCCAGGGGTAGCGGTCTGTGGACTTTACTCCAGCCGGGTCCAGGGTGACTCCGTCGCTCTGTCTAGATGCTTCTGGTTCAGCAGGGCCGTTCACCAGGCCTGAAGTCGAGGCCTAGAGCAAGGACTAGTGTGGCTTATGAGACAGCAGAGACAAGGGTTCCTCGGGAGCCACAGGGCTGTTGTGAAAAGTGTCCCTTAAGGTCCCCCTCATATTTTTAAGGTGGATAATTGCAGTTCTGGAAACGATGCATCTAACTGGGCAGGTCGAGATGGAGGATTAAGAATGCTAAAGTGTAGCTTATCCATGGAGACAACTCCAGATGCCCACAGTGTCCCCCCCCTTGCCCTCTGGGAAGCTCTGCAAGAGTCAAGGGACCCTGTGCCTTCTGAGCTCATAGCCTTGCATCTCAATCTCTGGCTCTTGGCTGATCAAGGTGGCCTAGACTTTGCGGGCCTGGCGCTGGGTGCCTCCTCTGGCTCAACCTGAGCCAATGGCCTGAGGTCAAGGGTGGACCCTCAGTCTCTCCCTGTGTCACACCCACTGGGTGTCACTTAGCTGCTGTCGGTGCAGGAGCATGACGATGACCAAGTCCTCTGGAACCAGCAGCATTGAGCCCTAAACCATACAGGAAGCCAATTAGCACTAAGGACAACTGAAAGGAAGATAGAGGCGGTGTGATGGCGCCCTTTCCATATCAGGGCAAGTGGCTGGACAGTACCTTTCACAGGTCCTGGCTGCCAAAGTGAATCCACCAGCTTTTCTCACAGAGGACCTCCAAAGCTGGCTCCTCGTGCTCCCTCAGAGGGCTGGTCTGGGGATAGTCCCCACTGAGACATATGAAGCCACCAGAACTCAGGAGGTCACAAGACCCTGTGAGGTGCTAAGGGTTTTCTTGTGGTGACCGTCCAAAATATTCCTTCCACCTTCCCAGCCTCCACTGTAAGGCCTGGTTGCTGGGACCACCACGGGCCTCTGTCCTAAGAGGCGGTGTCGTTAGTCCCAGAACAGACACTGAACCGTGGAAAGATCTAGAACTTGCTTGTCTCAGTAGATAGCTTAGAACCCAGCCAGCCTTGGACTGTGGGTGAGCTGGGAATCCTCTAGACCGACTGGATGCTCTGGAGCCTCGGCCAACTCCGACGTCAGAGCCATTTGGAACCTGGCCAGGCCCAGCATTTTGCTTGCTACACAGAACTGAAAGTTTGAGCTCAACCCAGGAAGGAAGGCTGAGATATTGAATTTGCTGACTCACCTGTGCACGGGGACCTGGTCTTTTTCTTGCTAAGAGTCTGGTGTGGACTCTCAGCTAGCCACCCTGGCTGAGTCTCACCTGTGTGTAGGGTTCCAGGTGCCCCCCACCACAGACACATTCGCATACACACACACACAGCTAAATGTTCAAGTTTTGCTGGGCCAGGTCTCAAGGGTCCCCAGCAGGAACCAGCCAGACAGTGGAATCCTGCACTCTCAGTGATTGGTCAGGGCGGCCTGCATGCAGGAGAGCAGTGTTAGGAGTCTTACATACACCATCCGGAGAGAGATCGCCAGGCCCGGTGGCCTGGGTGTGGATAGACCTTGGATCTGCTCTCCCTGTGTCCTAGGGAAGAAGATGTTGTCACCAGCAGCCTCTGGAGCCCTAAGGAGTCACATTGGTCAGCTGCACCTCTGGTTCTCCAGGCTCAGGCCTCCACACCCCTAACCACAGGCTCTGACCTGCTCGCTCCCACTGGCCAGGCAGCCTTGCCCTTTAAACTCTCCCCCTGGGACAGGCTGGGCCATGTCCCCAGAGTGAGAATGAGGGATTGCATACCTGCCAGAACCTAGGGTGGTGTGGATTGGGGGTACTTAAGGAGGGGCATTGAGGGCTTTCATGGGTGGCCTTCTGGCGACTCTTACGCTCTGGGTGTGCATGGCTGTGACTCTGACATGGGTTAAGCAGGGAGTGGGTGGCTGTAGGACTGGGAGAGGATTCTTGGGAGGGGACTGGAGAGGTGGTGCAGTCACGGTGCGAAGGCTTGGGCCTTAGCTCGTGCAGGCCAGGACAACAAGTCCCCTTATCCCCTCCCTCCTTGCTTCTCCGAGGCTGTTTCTTGGAAACAGTTCTCCCAGCCACCGAAGGACGCTGTCCACCTCCCTTCTGCCCCCAAGCCCGCTTCACGGCTCCTGATGATCTAGTTTAGCCTGAGATAGCCTAGCCTGCACAGCAGTTAGCCTAACCAGACGCCGCCACCGGGAGGCACTCGCCCAGGCCGGAAGGCCGAGTTCCTCTTCCATGGATAGGGAGAGGCATCAGGGACCCCCTCAAGGCCATCCCACAGGCCCGGTGTGTGTGGCACACTGTCTCTCTAGGCATTTGTGTTCCTCCCCAGTCCCAGCCTCTCATCAGCTGTGCCTAAGCTTTGGCGTTGACGAATACCTGTTCAAGGCTTGGACCACGTGATTACTGGCTTTGGGGGTGCACCTGCTGCAGTCCACATGCAAATCCACACTCCCTCCGTGGAATGTGTCTCCCCCCTGCAGGTCCTTAGATGGACAGCTGTGGGGTACCTGGTTAGCTGGGGGTCGGGGGGGTATCACTGCCTGGGTCTGCTTGAGACCCTGTGACCCCGTGCCTGTTGGCCGAATGCCCTGTGTATCTGATGTTGGTTGATGTGACTTGGGTGAGGTGTGTGTCCCCATGATGGGCTGGTTGACGTACGTCTAGCAGGTGTGTGGCTGGGTGCTGGAGTGCTGGGTGGTCTGCACGTGTTTGCTGGGCGTGTCTTTCTGGCGTGGGTGTGTGTTCAGCTCAGACCGGCTGGGTTATGTGGTTTTCCAGGCCTGTAATAGGTGTCAGTGGGCCGTCAGACATAGCTGGATATGTCCCTTAGGTGGCTGTGGCTTGTGATTGTGGCTGGACCGTGTGACGTGACTGCCCTAGTATCCTGTATGTGTGGAGGTGACCTGTCTGCCTCAGGTCAGGCTTGGCAAGGTCTCTAAGTTAGCCACCGGTGACCTCTTGCCGCTCAGGCTCAGCCATAGGGGATGGGGGTGGGGCAGGTGAACTCAGCCCGCACCCCCTCTTGCCTGTCTCTCCCAGAATAAGCCGCCTCTTCAACGGCACAGAGCCCATTGTCCTAGACAGTCTCAAGCAGCATTATTTCATCGACCGGGATGGGGAGATTTTCCGCTACATCCTGAGTTTCCTGAGGACGTCCAAACTGCTGCTTCCGGATGACTTCAAGGTAGGAGCGCAGCCGCCGGCACCCCCTGAACTGCCTGTGTCGTGGCATTACACGGGGGACGCTGTGACTTAATAAATGGACCCACGGTTGTCATGGCAACCGCAAAAAGTTAACCGATGAAGCCGAGGGCTAAATCAGTTTTTCTAAACTCATTTTGCTTTCTCACATCTTCAGCGTATTTATCAGGGTGTAACAACAATTAAGCTTTGGCGCTTACCCCAGGTTGGTGTTAGTTGTGCCATAAGGACCGCTGTGCGCTGGAACAGAGGAGTTAGATGTCTGTGGGAGTCTGTTCCTTGTTGTCAGTTTGCAGTAGGGAAACCCCCTAAGAGCTAGGTGGTCACCCTTCAAACAAACGTTACTCCCAGGACTCAGGATGAGCTTGTCCTGGGTGGATGATATGGTTCCCCATGGAGCTACCTCGGTGCCGAGCCCTTCTGAAATCCTGGGACTCGTGGGAGGAGGGAAACTCAGGCTCGCCTCTTGCTGGCAGATGTCTGTCTGTCTTTGTGCTTCCTTGCTTTGAGGCTTCCTGCAGCGACCACTGCACCAGCAGCCCTGGGGCCCTTTTTTCATCCAGCCTAGTTACTAAATGGCAACAACTGAATTTGGTCTGAAAATAGAGCTACACAGGAGGAAGCCATAGGCTCTGTTCCTTCCAGTCTAGAAAATAGAGCTCGGGTCTGCCTAATTGCATGGGCCCAGTGCTTCAGGATAGTGTGGGCCTGGTGTGGTGGGTCACACATTCATCCCAAGCCTTCCAAGACTGAGGCAGGGGGATGGCTGAAAGTTCTAGGCTAGCGCTGTCTAAAAAAAGGGGGGTAGGGAGGGGGTGGTCAGCGGGCATGACGGTACACACCTTCAGTCCCAGCACAGGGGGTAAAGGGTGGCTGATCTTTGTGCCTTTGGGGAGTTCTGGGCCAGCCAAGGGCTGTATGGTGAAACCATGTCTCAAAACAAAGAAACAAAAATAACCAAGGGTAACAGTACCAGTCAAACGTTGGGGACTCCTGGCCCCGGGTGGGTTTGAAGGAAACAGTGTTGCACTGGGTGGTAAAGGATGAATGGAACGGACAGTGGGGGGAGCCAGATGAGGGGCCGGGATGGACCTGGAGAGGTCTGGAGCCTGGGGCTTTGTGAAGCAGGAAGGGAAGGAGGGAGCCACTGGTGATACCTAGATCTTGATGGCTGGCGCTCAGCGTTTGACACAGATGAGAGGAGGGCATGAGCCATCAGGTTTGCCAACTGGAAAGATGGTGACTCTTGTGTGAGAGATGCAGGGAACAAGGAGAGGAGGCTGGCTACAGATGTCGCCGTGTGTTTCTGGGTTTGCTGGGAGCGACGCAGAGACTTGCATGTAGGGTGAGGATGCAAAGGCCGGGAGTGTGGATTATTGGACCAGGAGGCACTAGAGGGTGTCCCAAGCTCACAGCTTGAGCCCCAAATCAGTGAGTGAAAGTCTAGGCATGGAACATTCTAAGCTATGGGGAAAGATTTGGTTTAAAATGTCCCTGGACCTGGTGAGAGGTAGGAGAGCAGAGACCTGGGAGGCCCAAGGAGTCTTTATGGTAAGCAAAAGCAGGCAGGGTCACAGTTGGTGCTGGGCCCGGGGATGGGTTAGGATTCTGTGCCTTTGGGGCTGATAAACAGAGCCATCCATGTTGGGCTTTCAGGGTAGGCTGTGCCTTGGGACTCCGTCCTCCCTTGCCCTTGCTCTGGAGCCCTCGGAGTCACCACCAATGGGCCTGGTGCTCCCCATGAGTCAAGGCCATTCAAGACCGGGGCTGGGACTGAGGGACATGGGCTAGTTGAGGGTCTTCGTGACAGTTTTTGTGAGTGGGTTACTTGGTGAGGAGTAAGCTTTGCGTTCCGTCCCGGCGACCTTGTCATATTCTCTACCTGCTTGGGCAGGGTCAGGGATTCAGCAGCCCTTCTTCTGTCCGGTAACCTTCACTCTGCTTCTCGGGGTCCAGTGTTTACATTCATTATAAAGAGGGGAAGCTGGCCCAGGCAAGGCCAGCATCAGGTTCGTGGGCCTTGTGGCTGAAGTGCACGCACTCTGTGAAGGTCTGCCCAGGAACCAGGCAAGGGCGCGAGGTCCTAGAGTCAGTCTGATGTCTTCTCTGGGTGGATTTTCAGGAAGGCAGCATATGCGGACCCCTCTAGATTACTACTTTGGCTCCCAGCTCTGCCTTTCGTTTTTGTTTTTGTTCTTTTTGTGTGTGTGTGTGTTTTCTTCCACCCCTCCCCCCTTCTTTCTATCCAAGACCAGGTTTCTCTGCGTAGTCCTGGCTGTCCTGGAACTTCCTCTGTAGACCAGGCTGGCCTTGAACTCAGGCTCCTCTTGCCTCTGCCTCCTTGAGTGCTGGGATTAAAGGCTTGTGCCACAACCACCCAGCGGCTTCAGTCTCTTTCTGTGACATTTCTGTTTGTCATCCCGTCAGCTGAAGGTCCAGGAAGGGAGTCTCAACGGAGATACACCCCAGCCTGCTCTAGATTCTTTATGTGGGGAGGGGGCGGGGCGGGGTACACTCATTGGAGTCTTAGTCGCTCAACTCTACAGAGGAAACGGCCGCCCTAGTCCGTCCACATTGTGTCCTGGGATGTTACCGTGTCTGTGAAGAGAGAGAGGGGCCCCTTGGGGGACGGAGACTTCTTCCAGCTTCCCTGACGCCGTGCGTTTGTGGGCAGGACTTCAACCTGCTGTATGAGGAGGCGAGGTACTACCAGCTGCAGCCCATGGTGCGGGAACTGGAGCGCTGGCAGCAAGAACAAGAGCAGCGGCGCCGCAGCCGGGCCTGTGACTGCCTGGTGGTCCGGGTCACCCCCGACCTGGGTGAACGCATCGCGCTCAGCGGCGAGAAGGCGCTCATTGAGGAGGTCTTCCCAGAGACGGGGGATGTGATGTGTAACTCTGTTAATGCCGGCTGGAACCAGGACCCCACGCACGTCATCCGCTTCCCCCTCAATGGCTACTGTCGGCTCAACTCTGTGCAGGTGAGGGCTGTGGGCTGTCTCCCCAGAGGCCCCCCAGGATGCAAAAGGAGAGCTGGAGGGAGACAGAGCCCCGGAATGGAAAGGACGAAACCCATACAGAAAAAGGCAACAATGTGTCGATGCATAATTTATGCCTTGCTCATAATTAAATGATGGTGCCTGGGGGATGGACTTAAAAAAATTGATCTGTACTTTTCTTTTTCCCCTAAAAGGATGTTCTATAAGGAAGAAAAAAAAAAAAAAAAAGCCCTGAGTATTTTCAACGGAACATGCTTCATTTAACATGCAGAGGCCAACTTAGGATTCAGATTAAACCCAGGCACCAGGAAAGGCAGGGAGCCTTCCTGCGAGGCTGGCCCCGGGGCCACGGGCAGGCAACAGCTGCCTAGAGCACTTCTTTCCTTCTGAGACAGGGCCTTCTGTGTGATTCAGGCCCGATGCAGGGCAGACTTGGGCTCCTCCCGCCTCAGCCTCCCGAGTGCTGGGCTCACAGGTGTCGGCCACCACACCCCACTGTCCAGGGTATCTCTGGACTGACTTGACCAGGCAGGATGAGCTCAAGAACTGAGAAACCGAAATGATGTGATGACTCTGTCTCTGAAAGTGTTTTTCTGACTCCTAGGCACTTTTATTTGGGGGTTTGAACAGAAGGGGTCCTTTGGGGAAAGCCCTCCCACTCCCTGCAGGCTGTGGGTAAGAGTTTCAGGACAGGGATATAAAGCTAGCCCTCACCTTCCCAGAGACGTCCATCCTCCCCGCACACTCTGAGAGGACGCCCCCTTTTCCCTCCACCTAGAACTCATTTGAGCTGATGAGCCCTCAGGCCTCAAACCATCTGGGACTCAGCTCCAGGAAGCAGGTGGCTGCCCTGAGGCTAAGGGGCAGGGGCTTTTCATTATTGGGGTGGGAGATTGGGAGAGGGGGGTTGGTGCCTAGGGCCGTGTCGTGTGTGTGTGTGTGTGTGTGTGTGTGTGTGTGTGTGTGTGAAGATGGGGTAGGGCAAACCCTGGAAAACATGGAAGGGACCATGGACATGGACACATGCATCGACACATGGACCCCAAAACCCCTTTGCTTCCCTCCTTCTCGGTTGTACATCCCTGAGGGTTGTGGGGAGAAGGCCTGGAATAGCAGGGGCCCATGCTGGGTGGATAAGTTGAGGGGCCCCTGGACTTGACTGTTCCTGTCCCTCCTAGGGTAGGATGCAGCTGGGACCTTTGTCAGGGAGAGAGACTCTGGGACTCGTCCGAAGGTAGCGCTTGCTCTGCCTGGCACCCAGCTGCCCGCCTGGCCAGGCAAACCCTGGCAGCGGGGCACTGCTGACCTCTTACCCTTCTTGCCCTGCAGGTCCTAGAAAGGCTGTTTCAGAGGGGCTTCAGCGTGGCTGCGTCCTGCGGGGGAGGTGTGGACTCCTCCCAGTTCAGCGAGTACGTACTTTGCCGGGAGGAGCGACGGCCGCAGCCCACCCCGACTGCCGTCCGGATAAAACAAGAGCCCCTGGACTAGGCCTTGCCTGCGACCCCCCTCAGTCCCGGGGCATGGAAATAGTGCTGAGGAGTCTTGACTGTTGGTGCTCCCCCTGGTGAGCGCGAGACTCAGGGTGGGGACGGAGGGTCTGAGCTCATCCCTGGGAAGGCCAGGTGTCATGGCAACAGAATGAGGGGGCGCCCGGCGGAAGGACTGTTGACGTGACCGGAAGATGCTGCGGGCTGCGACCGTGTGGCCAGCTTCCGAGCCCTTCTGCTCCTCGGCCTGGTACAGCGTCCTCTGCTGGGCCAGCCACTCCCAGAGCAGCTGTTCTATCCTTCTCCACGCTTCGAGACGGCGGCAGGTCTCCCGGCGCTGGAGATGGCTTATTTTTCTACAGTATTTAAAACGGAACTAACTGTCGCTGCACAGGTCAGCAAGGCCGACGAGGACCATCGCTGCTCTTTTCCTGGTGCTCTGTTCTCAGCCCAACCTTCGGCAAGCCTTGCGAAGGATGGGCCGCCGGCGTTCGGGCCCAGGTGCCTGCTGAGCTAGGGCTGTGGGGACAGAGGTGGGGTGGTGCTGCTGTAGGCGATGGAACCAGGGTCCCCGAGGGGCAGGGCAGCGGGGAGGAGGGCACTGGGGGCTGTGGGACTCTGTGGCTTTTATCTGAGCTACTCCGCTGCCACCTGTGTCCCAGACTGCACTTGGTGCGCACCTGACCTGCTAATGCCCAGGGACTTCCAGTCCCAACTGACTGTGCTCACATCTGGGTTCCTTGGAGAAGTCTCCGCCCATCCGGTCAGCTTGGGGCCACAGCTTATCTCAGGAATGGGCCCTTCTACCAAGGGACTCATCTGTCAGCATCCATCTCTGGGTCCCCACTCAGGGAGCCACCCTCCACCCCAGCTCCAATCTCCCCACACTCATAGGCACACCAAGTTTTAATTAAATGTGCTAAGCTAGCCTGTCAGGAAGGCCCAGACCCGGGCTTACCCAGTGCCCTTAACCCCACATTTCCAACACGGACTGGTCCTGAGAAGTCCTCACAGACCTGCTCTCTCCCAGACGCCAGGCCCAAAAGACAGACACCCCAGCCTTGTCACCTCTCCCCAGCTCCTCCCAAGTGGGGGAACGGCAGAGAACTGATGGATGGGGTGCCCTGGCCGGCACCCCCTTGTGTATAGCATACGCCTGTAGACTTGTATATGACTCCTTTAATATTGTAAAGAAGCTGATGTACAACTGTTGTGTGTTTGTGTAAACACATCGTCGCGTTCCTGGTTCCTGCCATAAAGGACGCTGTGAAACAAAAGACTGAGGCTCCGTCCTATGCGGCAACTACCGCCGGGTTCCGCCGAGGGTGTTGGGGGGTGGGGTGCAGGGCTTGGTCACAGGGCTCGCTGTTGTTCAATGCATTTGGGTGTTTTAGTTACTTCCGGGGGGGTCCCCTCTGGGCTGCAGAGATTCTGGAGTCTGAGACTTTTAGCCCCTGACCAGATAGCTGAGGGGTAGGTAAGCAGGTTTCTGAGGAGTTTGAGAGCAGGCTCAAACATTTGGGATTTTTCTCATGGTGTTTTAGTTGGAACGGAATTGATGCTCCTCTCCCTCCCTTACCCCTCCCCCTCCTTGAGAGAACTTACTATGTATCCAGGCTGGCCTGGAACTCACTCTGTACTCTTGACTGGCCTGAGAGCCCCAAGTCCTGGGATTGCAGCCGCTCAGCCCATCTCACTTGTTCACTTTAAACCAACATACACACACTGTATGAGAAGGTTGTCACAATGTTTCAGGCCAGCCAAGGGACAGAGGCTGTGCAGCCACCCTGCAAACCGAATCCCGAAGGAGTCTGAACATGTCCTATAGGCCTCTGATTTTAATGAGGTTTTTTTTTTATTATTATTCAAAAGTTCCTGTGCGTTTAAGCCCACGAGGGGGCCCGTTTTACATGCATGCCCAGGGTCACCAGCCCCAGAGCCTGGGAGTGTGAGGCCACAGAGACGCCGTCCTCCCGTGCGATCTAATTTGCTGGACAAACCTGTTCGGCCTCTCTGTTTAGCAGCCTGGCTGGCACATCTGCATGCTGGCATCAGGCAGGCACCTGAGAAGAGGAAGAGAGTCGTGTCTGTTAGCAAAGAAGCCTTGTGGAAACACCTAACGCTGTGTGTGTTCATGGATTTTTTTTTTTCCTAGCATAATAGCGTGGAACTCCACTCCTGATACATGGAGATCCTCTAGTACTTTCAAGCCATCTTTTTGTGCAGGAAGCCGCAGCAGGGCATGGTGGCACTCCTAAATCCCAGCAGTTGGGAGGCAGAGGCAGGAAGATCAGGAGTCAAGACCATCTTCAGCTACATAGCCAAGATGTGTAAACTGTACATGCGCCTTTAGCTCTAGGTATGTGGGAGACTGGGACAGGAGGATCACAAGCTCAAGGCAAGCCTAGGCAACTTAGTGAGACCCTGTCCTAAGAGGTGAAGGGTGGGCTGGGCGTGCCCAAAACCCCAGGTTCAATCCTACTATCCCTCCTCACTCCCCAAACAAAGCAGCAAAGACAAAGGTAATGTTTACACCAACCGAAGAGTTTCTGAATTTTCGGGGAAATGCTATGCTCCCATGGCGATCTTGTCAAAATAGTGTTCATGTTTCTAAATGGTCGAAACAGCTCCTCCTTAAAGCCTAGACTGAACATCTCACCGTAATCTGTGAAATAGTCTCCTGGCTCCTCTGTGATGCTCAGAACTAATCCTTCCCTATAAGCAACTGGACAGAGAGAGCCAGCCACCAAGCCTCTGCCAAGCCTGAGCCAGCTTAAGCTATAGCTGGTGGCCCTGCCACTGCCCCATGCATGAGCTCAAAGCCAGTTCACAACATTAACAATACCTTTGGAAAGTGTGGGGCTTTGTTTTTTTTTTTTTTTTTTAAGCTATTGAATGTGTTCCTTAGAGACAATAAAAGGTGTTTTAGAAATGACAACGCCAATGCATTGTTTCCAGCCCTGTAAGGCTTGGGTTCTACAGAACCTTGAGTATGGATTCCATGTTTCAACGCCAGGATTCCTGAACAAGAAGATGGTGGTGTGAATCAGGCCCTCAGCAGCTTCATAGTCTGCCAACACCCAGCGTGTGTCCTGCTGGCAAATGTCACTGTGAGTGAATATGAATCACTGATAACTCTTCCCGGATCCCACCCTCAGACTCAGGAGATACAGGAATAGTGTGTGTGTGTGTGTGGGGGGGTGTCCTATCATTATGCCTATTGTGTGAATACAAACTTGAATTCTTGACCTCAACTGGTTGCTGTTGGAACTGTTGCCTATGGAACTTGAAGGACATGGTTCCTAGCCACAGATTTAACTCACACTGCCCCAGCTGCCTTTCTGGCCATGATGGACACGACCAGATGTGAGCCAAATAGATCCTTCCTCCCCTAATTTGTCTGTTTTGGGACATAGTGACAAAGTAACTAATAGTGTGAGTGTGTGTGAATATTTGTGCTTACATTGTTTCTCCTGTGTGTGAGTGTGTGTGTGTGACACAAGCCAAAAACAGGGGACTGATAGAGCAAGGCTTTGAGAAGCAGGGATACAGACCACTAAACCCCCATCCAAGAGAGGACTCGAACTTTGCTCTCCATAGAGCCTCCGTCCTCTCCCTATGCTCCTTGGAGATGTCTGTCTGCCAAGATGGTTCTAACTCATCACACTGCCCCTCCTGACTCTGGAGACAGCTAAACACTTGTAGTGGCCCAGGCCATACAAGATGCAAGTATCTCTTGTTAGGTCTCAAGGACACCCAGGACAAGCCTCACTCAGTACCTGTGGCTCCTGCCAGCATTCACCCTGCCCCTTCTCTAAGCCTCTCCCTCCCAGGGCCTGGGCATCTTCATCCCTTCCCCCAGTCTGCTCCCTATACAATGCAGCCATTTTGCCTACAGCAGGTCTCTTGGCCTCTTGGCCTGAGCTGGCTCTCCTGATCTGCACTTCCTCTCTCGTTCTCCCTGGCCCTGTCCCCTCTCATGGTCTGCTTTCGTCTGCCAGCCACGTTCAGCCCTCTGCCTGCTTTTGCACTGGTATCTATCATAAAAATCTCCATACTTTAGAGCAACCATGTCCTCCTTTTATTTCTTTTTTTTTTTTTTTTTTTTTTTTTTTTTTTTCACTCACTAAGTGACAAGGTGGGACATACAGACAGGCATCATCAAAGGATTATCAGGACTCTAGGAACCAAATTATTAACAGAGCTCTGGACAAAGCCAGAGCCAAAGGTCCAACTGATGGCCAGAGAGGACAGCGGTAGGCCTGGAGCCTGCCATTTGGGCTGACACAGGTGTTGAGCTCATTGTGACAGTCATGACTTGAGCTGATTTTTAAGTGCATGGGCAAAGCTGTTTCACCACAATGCCCGAGCGCCCACATGGTACCACTGTCTTAAGTTTCCTGTTTCTATGATAAAATACTCTTGACAAACGCGACTTCAGGGAGAGACCATTTGTCTGGCTCACAGTTCTAGTTAACTTTCTACCGTGGGAAGTTAAGGCAGCCAGAACTTGAGGGAGGTGGTTCTGTCAAATCCATAACCACAAACAGACCCAACAGTTGGAGGAGTGTGGCCGTTCTCAGCTCACTCCATTCTCCTTTTCATTCAGACCAGGGCCCAGCCCTAAAAATGGTGCCACCCACACAGAAGATGGCTCTGCCCACTTCAATTAACCTCATTAAGAAAGCCCTTCATAGGCATGCCCGCAGGACAGCCCAATCTAGAACATTCCTCATTGAGACTCCCAACCTGCATGATTCCAAACTGTGTTAAATTGACAATAAAAAAATATCACACCGGTTCTGTGTCACATGGGACAAGGACATGACAAGCTTTCTTTCTGCCCCTCAACCTGCAAAGCCCCAAGAGAGAGGGCTTGTCCCCAATCCCCTGGAGGTTTGCCCAGTCCTCTAAAGACGGGCAGAACTCAGTGACATTGAAAAGTCTGTGTTATGCTGGGTGGTGGTGGTTCACACCCTTTATCCCAGGGAGGCAGAAGCAGGTGGATCCTTGTGAGTTCAAGGCCAGCCTGATTGAAAGAGTGAGTCCGGAAGGTTCAAGGCTACACACAGCTACACAGAGAGACCCTGTCTCAAAAAGAAAACAAACACACACACACAAACAAAAAAAAGAAAACTCTGGATTACTATACAGGATCAAAACTGAGCCCGTTCACAGTCACAAGCTGTTTTGTTATTTGTTTGTTTTTTCAAGACAAGATTTCTTCAATTAACCTTGGCTTGGCTGTCCTCAAACTCACAGAGATCTGCCTGCCTCTGCCTCCCAAGGGCTGGGATTAAAAGCACTCGCCATCATGGCCCAACAACTCCTGAAATTTTTAGACTATGTGCAAGTGGATATCCTTAAAAATATTTGTAAAAGGGCTAGGCATGTAGGTGTGCACCTTTTATCCTAACACCCAGAGGTAGAGGCAGGCAGATCTTTGTGAGTTTCTAGCCAGCTTGGTTTACATCTGGAGTTCTAGGCCAGCCAGGGATAGAGAGAGAGAGACCCTGTTCAGAAAAAGGGGGTAGGGAGGAATTGGAACAACCATTAACAGCAAAGGTATGAACTCCATGTAGCTGGACATGCCTTTCATCTCAGTGGTCAAAAGCAGGCTGATCTCAGGGAGTCTGAAAGCCAATGTGCTCTACACAGAAAAAAAAAGAAAGAAACGAACCCTTTTCTGTTGTTCTCGTTCTTGTTGAGGCAAGTTCTCACTCAGTAGCCCAGGTTAGACTCAAACTTCTTAGCATCTTACCTCCTTAGCCTCCCAGGTGCTGGGATTAGAGGTGTGTGGGGCCACTTCCGGTAAGGAACGGTTTTAAGGTCTGCTCATCCAAAGCCACTCTTGCCTTTATGGACACAAGGTTTCTCTCTAAGCCAACCAAGGTTTGTTGTTAGTATCCAAGGAAACCTTCAAAGAGAAAGCTTTACCGTTCAACAGGAAACCCAAGATAATTTGCCTGCTTTATTTCATAATTTCACCTGGGTCTGAGGAAGGATGTCAAAGGCACCTGCTCACACAAAAGTACCAGCTGCAGTTAGATTACAGTTGCTAACTTCACCATCTGGGGCAGAGAGGCCTGGAGAAAGGCTCCCGCCAGGATCCCTTGTTCCTAGGGCATCCTGACAAGGTACTATGGTGACTTGGGGATTCTCTGGAGGACTCGGGAGATGCCACTTGGAACAAGACAAAGATAAAGGTGTTGATATTGCAGCGTTTCTTCCTGCCAGGAGCAAGCTTGGCTCTGCTGTTCTCTAGGAAGCATCGTTTCAACAGTGGCCCC